AAGAGAAAAGAAAACTGTTATATACAAAGGAGTTCCCATAAGGCTGACACCTGATTTCTCTGAAACTCTACAGGCCAGAAGGGAATGGCATGAAGTACTCAAGGCAATGGAAAGCAGATACCCCAAGACATCTATCATTCAAAATAGATGGTCAAATGAAGAGCTTCCCAGACAAAAAAAAAAAAAAAAAAAAAAGGCTAAAGGAGTTCATCACCACCCAGCCATCATTATATGAAATGCTAAAGGGATTGCTGAGAAGAAGAGAGAGAAACCTAGCCATACAGAATTAAAATGGCTATAAAAATGTACCTCTCAAGACCCTAAGTGTAAATGGATTAAATGCTCCATTGAAAAGGTAGAGTAGCTGAATGGATAAAAAACATGACCCAATTATATGCTGTCTACCTCAAAACAAAAGATACACACAGGATGAAGTTGAAGGGATGGAAAAAATTTCCCATGCAAAAGGAAAAAAAAAAAAAGCTGGAGTAGCAATACTCATATCTAACAAAATAGACTTTTCCTACAACTTCTGTGATATCATACTATGTTAATATAGTTTTGGTAATATTATACTTAAAATCCTTTTATTCTTGAAATATTAATGTACACTGCATGTAATATTATATGTAAGATCATTTTTGAATAATTAGTGTTTATTGCATGTAACAATATATTTAAAATCATTTTTCTTAAGATATTAATGTTTATTACATGTAACATTATTATATTTAAGATAGTTTTTCTTGAAATATTAAGATTAATTGTATGTAATATTATTATATTTAAAATCATTTTTCTTAGAAAAAAAAACTGGGGAAAAAAAAGAATAGAAGAATCAAGTCAATATAAAAACAAACAAATGAAAAACATCCCTATATAACAAGTTGGAATGACTTGAAGTGGCTACTAAAAAGCATTTTTATTTCTATAGGGGGGTCTTTCAAATATTGTTAGAATTAACACATACCATTTTCACTTTACTATTACACAATGTTTGGCTCATGGTTAAATGATAAATCAGTAGAGCAATTATAATAAAAATAATTTATCTCCATAACCAATTTTAAAAAACATTTTCAACCTTTTGGTTTACCATTTGGATATTTAAACTTATGCAAGTATAGAAAAACTAGCAAAGATAAATGTATGTAACACTGACATTTATACAGCACAGGATAAGAAAAATATCAATTTGCAAACTCGGATTGGAAAGAGGAAATGATAATAGATGCGTCTGGTGAAAGTTTTCGGGAAACTTCAGGGTGGATGAATCAAGCTGACAACTCCTGAACTAACTGAACCCTCCTAACATTACTATAAACAAATCGAAGCAGATGTACATCCCACTTGGTAGATGAGAAAAACTAAGATTACTTTATTACTATTTATGAAGCATTTTTTCCAATATACACATATATGTATATGTATGCCAAATTACCAGTGTACAGAAGGTATAGGGACAGAGAACACATTAAATGAAACAACTGTGCCATGAGCCAAATCCAGAATAAGGGAAATTTTACAGAGCAAATCATATCGTTTCTATTACAAATAAGTTCATAAAAAAAAAGAGAGACTATTATAAAAGAGGCTGACGAATCATACAACTTATCTTTCAAAATGGGACACTTCTGAGAATGAGAGAAGTTCTATTAACAATGACGCTAGATAACAGATATAAACTGGGACTACTCTACTCAAAAGCATTAATCAAATGCAAGGTGTGGACTTTACTCAATATCTTTTTACTTTTAATATTTTGGGGGTGGGGGGGCAAGGCAGGATCCAATTCAGAAATTTGAACATGGTCTGAACATTAAACCATACATTTTAAGGTGGTTGATAAGACACTGTGACTAGGCTTTGTAAAATAAGTTATCTGTTAGATATACACACCGCAATACTGCAATGTGCATAGGTGAGAGAATATGGTAATTGTTCTGCTTTAAAACACTAGTGCGGGGGGAGGATGGGAGTAGGATGTGTGGTGAAAATATATGAAATGGTATTGATAAAATGGCGATAAATATTGAAGCTGGGTGATGGGCCCATAGGGATTTGTTATGATACACTCCTCCATTTAATGCATATTTCTGTAATTGCAGTTACTTTTTTTAAATTGAATTTATTGCGGTGACATTGGTTAATAAAATTATAGAGGTTTCAGGTGTATAATTCTGTAATTCATCCTCTGTATATTGTATTTTGTGTTCACCATCCCAATTAACTCTCCTTTCATCACCATGTATCCCCCCAACACCCTTCTCTCCCTCCTCCCAGCCCCTTTCCCGCTGATAATCGCCATACTGTTGTTGTCTCTGAGGCTGGTTTTGTTTTCTGAGTCCCTTTACCTTTTTCACCAGGCCCCCTTACGCTCTCCCCTTTGACGGCTGCCAGTCTGCAATAGAAAATTTCTTTACAAGCTTAATATCACCCAGCACTTCTGGCTTTGACTTTCTTTTGATGACAGGTACACTCCCACAGCACTAACTTGCCAAAAACATATCGGTCAGGCTGAGTCATAAAATGGAAATCTCAAAGGGAAATCTTTGAAGGAGGAACAGCTGCTTTGGCTCCGAGGATGGAGAGGTCCGTTACTGACTGTCCCACCAAAAGCGCCTGGAGTCCTTTCCCGGACTCACAGTGGGTGGCGATGGTGCTTGTGGGCACTGGGATTTGTAAGGACTCAGCGAGGAGTTCACACAGCTTTGAACCTGAAACTGGGTCAACAGCTCCAATCTGATATTATCCTATGTTCTTGGCAAAGAGTCACAATTTTAACTTCTGCCAAACATAAAATTTATTTTATGGGGTAGAAGAAACTTCTAAAGTGTAGCTGAGTAAGTCTCTGTTGTGAAGAGTCTATGTTAATCGTGTTTCTCAAGTATACTTTTTTGGAGAATTACTATTTGGAGAATAGCCCAAAGTGAAAATTTCATCTAAATAGTTACTCATCGTCACCTTGAAATACTAAACAAAGATAAGCAAAAGTTTACAGATTGCCCTTTAAAATGTCTTACTATCTGAAGTCTTCATTCTAATAATTTTGTAATTACCTCCTTTTTTTAAAAAAAAATATATTTTTATTGATTTTTCACAGAGAGGAAGAGAGAGGGATAGAGAGCTAGAAACGTCGATGAGAGAGAATCATCGACCAGCTGCCTCCTGCACACCCCCTCCTGGAGATGTGCCCGCAACCAAGGTACATGCCCTTGACTGGAATCAAACCCGGGACCTTTCAGTCCGCAGACCGATGCTCTACCACTGAGCCAAACCGGTGCCGGCATTACCTCCTATTAATATCAATTATAATTATTCTCAGACTTCGGCCCAATTATTGTTCTGGTTTCCAAATGCAAAATAACACATTTTAGGAGAGTTCTTCACATAGAATATCCGATTCCACTTCAGGCAATGACATTTATAGAAATTAAAGAAAAACCTTAACAAAATATACTAACACTTAGATGCACTATCTAAAAATACCAAAGATGTATACTATTAGTGAAACAAATCAATTACAAATATAGTTGCATGATACTTCAATAAATTTAAACGAATTCTTCACTGGTTTAGAAGTTCAAGCCATCAAACCTAAGAGGAAGTCAGCGTTAAAAATACAAAGCAGTGCTAATGAATTCCTAAGAAAAATGCTATCACCAACAATTAGCTCAAGGTGCCTTAACTTTCATTTCCTTTTTGATTCAAGGCACCTAAAGTACATTTTGAAACGAGGAACAGGGAAGTTGGGGTAAACTGAATGGTATGTTATGTTACACCTAACGCAGTCCATTGTACGTTTGAGTCACACGTTCTGAAATCAGCAACTTTGACCTTTCACCATGTAGATTTATGGCAGTTGGGTGCATACCATGACATTTTTGGATTACAACTACCATAGAAAGCCAAGTAACAATTTCATGTAGAATAACATAACTCTCTTAAACAGATTGTTTATAGTTGATGTTCACTCCCTTATGACCCAGAGATCCTATTTTAAGATAAAGTTAGTAACAGCAAAAAAGAAAAAAATGTGATTAGCAATGGGTTATTGCAATGAGCAGTGCAGTATTTGCATAAGCTCAGTAAACTATTTTGCAGTTTGGTGGATACAGAGGAAAGGAGACTAAAGGAAGAAATGCAAAATCAAAATTATTTTAGAATCAATTGTAAGTAAACTAAGTATGGTAGGATTTCTGAGCAGTCTAGTGAATTATCCTATAGTCTTTGAATATTATACAGGAATTGCATAGCAGAGGAAAAATACAAAATAAAGCTTTCTCTTGCAAGTGGAGGGAGTTGAAAACAAACAGGAACATAAAAAAAGGCATACTAACACTTGGCTGCGCTAAACATATTTAAGCACAAACCCTGAGCTTTTATTCCAAATATTTATATATTCCTGGGGAAAAAATGCATATCCTATAGACACTAAGTTCTGGAACATTTAGAAATAGTGAAAATGGAAGCAATTTTGGTTACTATTGTGGAAATAATGAACTGGATTAAATGGAAGTCAAAATCGGTTTAGTTCTCTAACTTCTACTATAGGCCTTGTACTTTGCTACGTACACAATTAAGGTCCTTCACCAGGGAATCCCAAAGTTTCTCAGCAAACTTCTTTTGTTTCAAGTATTGCCACTTACAAGTGATGTCAATACTTACTAATGTAAGTGGCCAGGCACGTAAGAGTTGTCATTTGTAGCAAGTGGATACACAAGTATTTCCAAGTTTACCGTGCGATTGAGTTCATGTGGGTACAGACACTTAGCAAGCTGGTCCTAACTAACGGCTTTGTTATTTGAAGGTACAAAATATTAAAGAAAATCATCCCATGCTGTCCATGTTAGCAAACACAACCTCCAATAGCATGATTGTGAAGCAGGCGCTTGGACCCCCATTTTATAAATGTGAAAATGCAGGTTCAACTCTCGTCCCTCCAGCCAACTGTGCTATCCAGTGGAAAGAGAGGAGAGAGAGGTCCTGGCTCCACTTACTCTTCATTCAGGGCACACCGCCGGTTGGTGAGCGTGCCGTACTTCCGCAGCGTCTCGGTGAGCTCCGAGTAGAGTTTGTCAGCCAGAGACAGGGGGATGCCTTCCCACACCAGGATGAGAATCACAATCACCGCAGCCTCACAGGTGTGGCCAGCTCGCTCCCGCACCAGACACAGTAGCTTCTCCTCACTGCTGCTTCTGCGCACCACCTGTGCGGGTCACCATTCCACCCCAACACCCCCCACCCCAACCAAAACAAGACAAGGGTCACTTGCAGCAGATGTCAGCATTGACTTATATATGCACATTTTCTCCTGTCTGGGTCACAGGGCAACATTGACCACCACCTACAACTTGCCTTTTGTTGCCCATGTACAAAGTGGGGGATTGCCCTGGGCTCAGAACTGGGAGAGGTGAAAAACTGCTCAATGTTTAGCCCAGTAGAGTTGGGGCAATGCTCCCTGAATTAAAGCCAAGGCTAGAGGGAAGACATGCAGGTCTTTTTCAAAAAGAGCAAGGTTTTCATAAACGACATGAAGGTATTTAAAGGAAGAATTATACTTGTAGCAGGTACTTGAATGGACATTCAGTTCTTTCAAATAATATGGTTAGTATATTATTATTCTTTCAATTAAATATGGTTAGTATATTGTTATGATCTGACTTTTTCTTAAGAGATAACACTTGATAAAATAAATGCAAGCAATATTCCTTTTAACTGGTATCAATAACTCTTTGATCTGGGTTAACACAATTTTCAGGTTTAAATATAATGAATGAAAATGCCCAAAACTGAAGACTAAAAGCCCTGTCAAGTCACACTTACCCATTTGGCAATAGGACATCCCTGAGAACTTTTGCCTTCTTTACCAGTATAGACGACTCTTTCAATCCTAATAGCTTTACCCTTCTGTCCAAACCTTAAAGAAATCCACAGAAACACACACACACCCACACACACACAAAAAAAATTAGCAAATGGACCTAAAAGACACCCAAAATATTGAACATTTGAGTGTAATTTTACTCTATTACCACATCCTGAGACATAAATGTTTCATTTATTTTTTAAAGTTTATGCCAAGCAGACTAGATAATAGACTTTAAGCCTTGTTTTTCTTTAGCATCAAAATATACTGATAATTGTAATTTACTATTTCAAAATTCTATGTTGGGTGAAAACAATGGGAAAATTTAGTTTTATACATAATTTTACAAAGCACAAGACTTTTTTAAGTTTGCTAAATCCAGTCTTCTAAGATATATACTATTTTATTTTTGTCCTTAACTAAATTTAGCTATTTTAAACATGGGGAATCATAATAGATTTTAGTTATAACTGTTCCTCAAAGAATCTCACATTTTTTAAAAAGAAAGCTGGCAAATAACTAGTATCCAACAATACTGAGAATATAGGATAATTCTAGAAATAGATCATATATTTCCCTTCTGACCAAGGTTACTACTTACTACTTGTTAATAAACAAAAAAGGGGGTACTAGATGATTAGTACATTTCTACATGCTAATTTGGAAATGGGGCAAGAATGATGCAAAATATGTCCTTGCTGCCCAGAACGTCTCCTAATGTATTTCAATGATAACACTGCCTACCTCTTAGAGAAAAGGCATCCTAGCATAGCAACAGCTCAAGAGCTGTGGACACCTATATGAATGTCTCTCTGCATTGAGTATCTCGCTCTTAAGAGTCTGTTACATGTAGGAGTAACGGTAGGTTCAGGTAAGTATTTGCATACCTGTGACTGACAGCAAAAAAGAAAATGCAACTAAAAATAGAATGCCTCTATTTCTCCTCAGTATATCACACTTGCCCTTTGCTCAGACTGGGGACAGCTTCCTTAGAGAGGGCCAGGCCTTTACAGTTCCAGGTGAATCTAACTCAGCAGGTTCCTTTCTTAAGCCATACGTCCCCCCTCTTCCTCTTGGACACTTTATCGCCCAGTGGGAGAGCCACAGGGGGCCTCTCTCTGCAGCTGGAGCCAGCACCCTTGTGCCTGGCGGGCAGGAGGATTCTTGCTCCTGCCCGGGTTTCCCGGCACCCATGTCCAAGGGGGCAGCCTGTGCCAGCTCGCGGACTCTCGGTCTTGTCAAATATTGTGACTCTCAGGTGAATAGCACAGTGTGTAGGACTGGCAACCCTGGAACAGCTAATAGCTTTACCCTACTAATAATGACTCAATTTACAATTGTTTACTGCTTCGTAGGTGTGTAAGCTGGAAAAGGTCTGACATATATCATACAAGAGGATAAACGTTACTCTGCCCTGTGCCTTTGCGTTAATTACCTTTCTTCCATGATTTCTCTAATAGCTGCCACATTAGGACCTGCTCCTAGATGGGTATAAAAAGGACCTTCATCTTTTTCAATAATTTGCTCTGTTGAGATAATAGAAGATTATTATTTTAGACCTCAATTATACTAAATAGAAAGGCTACATCCACAAAGCTTATCCCCCAACTGCACATTAAGGGCCCTAGATGTGATTTTACACATTTTTCCCCCCCGAATGAGTAAATTGAGGGAGTCTGTTTATTAGAAAATGTGTGAAATAATTACGTATATGCATATGTTGGCTGTGGATAAAAGTACATTAAAATTATATTTCAGATATGGGCTAAGAAATTATTTTATACCACATGCATGGAACCAAACATGAAAAGTGTAGGGATTATAATATATTATGCGTAATATCAACTACAATTAGTTATGTACACTAAAAAAACGTTTTTTTCCAGCTAACTGGAATTCTGCATCTACTTGGATGTCGAAAGATTAGAATATAGTTTCCTATTTTATCTCGCCCCCTAGGAGATTGCTCGGTTTATTATCAAGATACCTTCTTCTCTTCTTGTCTCCCCACAACATTCAATCACTCTCTTTTGAAATTAAAAACATTGATGCCGGACCCATGTTTGTACATCCTTTAGGACAATGTTTGAAATGAAAAAATACTGGAGAGTGGGTCAGGTAAAAGGCAGAGGCTCCTGTCAGAGATGGAATGTGGGGGAGAAAGGGTTGGGATGATAGAAGGGAATGAAGGTGGTTATAACTTACCTAATAGTATCTATGACATGTGCGGCACTAAGCCCAGTGAGGCAACCGAGTCCTGACCACACACAAAGGGACAGTAGGCACCCTCCCTCCATTGCCTGTAAGTTATCATGTGACCCATCGTAAGAGGAATGGCATAGGGTGGGTGAACCACCAGCCACATTAGTCTGACATGTTTTTTCAAATGTCTTCTACTGTACCCACACTGAATAGCTATGATTAAGATCTCCACATATATGTATGAAATCTGCCTCCATCAGCAAAATGTTTCCTCATTCCAACACACATGTCACGTGTATTGAATTTTAACAAAAAGGTGTTTGTTTCAAAAATGGGAAATTATATGTATTTATAAGAAAGATAAAACTTTAAAGAGAAAATAGAAACAAAATGAATATAAGTCACACAATATTTCAAGTATATAAATGGAGAAAGGGAAACTTCATGAATATTTAGAACTTCAGGCATTACAATTTCCCCCAACTCACCAAGACTGAAGACAGCCTCTCCCTATAGAAATTAGCCTTGTAAAACTAATACCTTCAACCCTGAATTAAAAAATATTAAAAGCTTATACACTAGTTTGCATATGACAGCTATCTTTCTCATTTTAATGCCTAGCTGTCCCTCCAGAAATTATTTATAACGGCAAATAGACTGATTAATCGATAGCAAATAGCTTTATATTTTACAGAGAAAAATGAACATGCACAATCGTGTCAATATTTTGGGAAAAAAAAACAACTGAATGTAAGTGAAGTTCTTTCTTGCACAGAACACACATTTGTAATTCAAAGACAAGAAATGTAAGCTTCAGATTTTTATGAGCCTTTAAAAATTGCTGCCAGACAAAAAAAAAAAAAAAAAAAAAAAAAAATGAAAGAAAGAAAAAAAAGAAAGAAAATCCCATATCTAAAGATGAATTTGCTAATTCTGGATAAACACCATGTGTCTCAGAACACTTCTGGCACTTACCTACACATCTGCATGATGGGAAATCATATTGAGTCTTGACAGGTGTATCCAATAGATTTTTTATAGGCGTATCTAGTAATTTGGAAGGTGACTCTAAAAAATTATTGAGAACAGAGCCAGCTGTTCTTTTGGTGGGCGTCTTTTCCGAAGGAGCTGCCTGCTGCTCTAACCCTGGGGGGTGGCTCTCGAGCTCTGCGGCCGTGGTGTGCCTGGATAACACGGTGACTGGCCCTGACATTTCAACCTTCACTTGCTTCTGTGACTTGAGAGTAAGGGCCTTATGGTCAAATAACGATTTGACCTGAAACTGCTTCAGGTGTTGCTCCATGGTCTCGAGAATGCTCCTCTGCTGCACGTTGTCACAGCTCAGGGGTGGAATCTCTTGCTTAGTTATCTTTTTCCACATTTTGTTTTCCGGCTGTGCTGGCTTGGGGTGCATGCAGGCATGGGGCTTGGATCCGGGTTCTACCTTAATTGGCCGGTGTGCCTGACTGTGGCAAGACTCGGTTTGAGCTTGCTGGCTTTGCTGCTGCTCCTGCTTCTGCAAGAGGTGCCACCTCAGAGCAGCGTGCTTCTGAATGTCCTTCTGGGGAGGGGTCTGAACGTGACCTCCTGGTTCAGGCACGGCGAAAGCGTTGGCTTGGTTGTGCATCAAGTACCTTTGCTGAGCGAGCTGGGCGGCTTGTTGGCCTGACAAGTCTTGGTTTTTATTCTTGTATCCCTGGAGAACCGAGGCCTGTTGAGGCTTCTGTCCTGGTTCTTGAAAGCACCTGTGAAGACCATCTTGTTTCGTATTCACATTGTTTGGAAAATATTGCATGGGATGCAAGGTTTGGGTCTTGTTTCCAGAAAAGTGTTCAGGATGTAAAGTCTGCTCTGTATTCTTTGAAGCTGGGTGAATGTTGTTTGAACAAGACATCTGTACTTTGCTTGCATTTGACTTCAAGATATGACCGTAAGGGGAATTTCTACTGTTCATGTTCTGCATGTGCTCCAATCCCATTGGGGCATTATGAGCCTGAAACTCACTTGATTTTGAATACTGATTTTCACCATGAAAGCATTCTTCCACTTTAATCTGGCTAAAGAACGGCCCTTCTCTTTGCTGACCACTGTTGCCTTGGGGATGAGAAAAAGGATGAGGCATTTGTTCTTTATTCTCCGTGTGTGAGTTTTGCTGTTGCTGCTGGTTTTGAGGAAGATGTGAATTCTGGGATGTCTGTGTTGGTGCTGCCTGACTATGAGACGTATGTGGCAAAAGGTGTGAGTTTGAGAACGGCTCGGTCTCTGAAGCCTGTTGATTCAAGTGCTGCTTTAATGGTGAGGGCATGAGTTTTGTATTTTCGGAGTCTGGTCTTTGTTGAAAATGAAACCTAGGGATGCATGGCGACTGCATGTGAGCTTCAGGGGAAGGGTCTGTGTTGGAGAAGTGCACCTGGAGTGAGGGTTTTTGGAACTGGAGATGCTGGTCCACTGTACCTTGAGAATGCCCGTGATTCATCTCAAGTTGGTACCTTTGTGGCCTCTGCTCCGGCTGCATCATTTTCTGGGTGCAAGCTTGTCCTGGGAGCCCCCCGGGCATGTTGGAATTTCCAGTGTATGGTGTGGAGGTCATGTGATTGGAGGCGTTGGACTGATACTGAAGCACTGACCGCTGCGGTCCTTTATAGTTTAGGTGGGATTCTGCTTGGTGAAACTGAGGGGCCTTCAATTCAATCCATCCTGGTTTCAGTTGGGGCTGTGTTGGGAGCACATGATCGAGTGTCTGTCGCATGTCTTGACCCTTCAGAACCTCCTGTTCTGTGTGCCCCATCAGCGGCTGGCAGTGGTCCTGTGGGACTTCACTGCTCCCAAGAATGGGTGGGTTATGCTTGGGCTGCTCTGGTATTTGTCTTGCTTCTTCAGGACACAATGGAACCGCCATTGTCCCTGGAGTCCGTACGTCATTCTCGTTAGCACAATTGTTCTGAAGCCTTTCTGGGAGTGTCAGAGAGGGGCTGGGTACATGTGTAGGTGGATTAGGACTCTGGGATGATGGTGCCTCCAGTTCACCCTCTATTTTCACTTCCCTTAAAAGAGCTGTGTTACTTTGGTTGGGGTAGTGATGGTGTTCTTCCAAAACACCATCGCTCAGAGTGCTTTTTCCTTCTGAAGGAAGCTGAGGAGCCTCTGGAAGAGGAAGAGGGGGAGACAAAAGCAATTTCGATGGTGGTGGTGTGACAGTGGCAGAAAAGGAATCCTTAGAGAACACTGAGGTTTGCTTGCAGTAAGCACCATTCGTTTCATTTTGCTTGAAATACCGTTCAGAGCTGCCACCAGGAGCCTGCAAATTGCTGCTGGAACCTGAACAGAATTCTTCACCAGCTATGAGCTTTGTGGTTCCTTGGATGTTACCGTTTTCTGCAGGAGATGGGCACATCTCAAAAACTGGCTTTTGTTGTTCTGGTTTCGGAAAGGAACAGGTACCTAGCATTGCAGCTGGTTTACTGACATTATCGGCGTCACAGGCCTCAGTCATGACTGCAGCTGGCTCTGGAGGCAGCTCAGAGTTCGAGGTCTGTGGGAAATTGGTCTGCCCTGAGGTATGCAATGGGTGAGTGATCTCACAGGACAACTCATTCGTAGCCGGACTGTTAATGGCATGTATGTGAGATGTGTTCTGCACCGCAATGGAAACACAATCTGGGTAATATTGAGACAGTGTTTTTTCCAGGAGTTCACCGTGCGTGTTTTCCATGGAAGAGGCAGAAACTGTAGCACCATTAGGCATTAGCACTGACTTGTTTTTAAGAAGTAATACAAGGTTCTTGTCGTGGTAGTTAGCATCTTTGCCCTCCTGCTCATTCAGAATCTGAGGCTCTGCATTTTCAGGCCCACTTGAGTTGTGTGTTGAAAAACTGGTGATATCTTTAACTGCATCTTCTGGGGCCACAGAGCTCACAGATTCTCTCTTGTCATTCACGTCGGAGACATTTGGTTGACTGCTGCCTTTGCCTTGATTTCTTTCTTGGCTTTCCCCGAAGTGCTCTCCTTCTCCATTGGCCTTTTGGTCTTGTTTCAACTTCTTGTTCTGATGGAGCCCAGAGAGAGAAGGTTCACTAACCGTGCGTTTTATCCCTCCATTCTGCAAACACTTGGAATACCCTCTGCCTTCTTGTATAAAGTCCGGGCTTACACGACTCTTCTGGCTGCCCTTCATATGGGGTATTCCATAGTGACTTTTGAAAGATTGCCACTTGGTGTCTCCATTCACTTCTGGATAAGGTCTCTCTGGTAACGGGCTTCCATTCTGGAGCTTTAGAGCCAGAGGTTCTGTCTGGCAGATGGGAGAAGGAGATGGTGTCAAGAATGGACTTAGTCTGTTGCCCTCCACATGGTTGGTTCTGTCCTGTTCCATCAGGCTTGCTTCGGGGCCATCCACAAGGCTGCCCTCGGAGTGAATTCTAAAGAGCATGGAGACAAAAATGAAAGTGCATTAATACATATCTAACTTGAATAATGTTTCTTAGAGAATTAGCACGTTGTTAATAGTATTGGAATTCTTAGACATAGTAAAGTGTGATACTCATTTTCATGGAAGGCCAGTAGCTGAACAAAAAATGATTACTCTTGCTGAAACCGGTCTGGCTCAGTGGACAGAGCATCAACGGCTCACTGAAAGGTCCCAGGTTTGGTTCCGGTCAAGGGCATGTAGCTTGGTTGTGGGCACATCTCCAGTAGGGGGTGTGCAAGAGGTAGCTGATCGATGATTCTCTCTCATTGATGTTTCTAACTCTCTATCCTTCTCACTTTCTCTCTGTAAAAAATCAATAAAAAATATATTTAAAAAAATGATTACTCTCTTGCCTGGCAAGCATGACTCAGTGATTGAATATCGACTTATAAACCAGAAGGTCGGGGTTCAATTCCTGGTCAGGGCACATGCCTGGGTTGCCCAGGTTGCAGTCTTGATCCCTGATAGGGGCCATGCATGAGGCAGCTAAACAATGATTCTCTCTCATCATTGATGTTTCTATCTCTCTCTTCCTTTCCCTTCTTCTCTGAAATCATAAAATGTGTTTTAAAAAAATGATTACTCTTGTCTTCCCAGCAATTGCCATTGCCATAAGTATGGTCATAGAAAATGAAGATGATCTAAATCACCAGCTCATGTGGGAAGGTCATACTGCATTAGTAAATATTATCCACTCTTTCCCAAATAATTCTTGGTGTCAAAATGCTAACAACAGTAGAGAAAGACTACCTCCTTTCAGTCTTCTCTAGAAGACATAGTAACTCACTTGCTAAGCTATCAATTCTATTTTCTTTATTCCTTGAATTTTCTTCACTGACATTTGGTAGCCAGTTTTACATTTTCTTGGCTCATTATCCATTGCAGTAGCATTTTAAAGGGTTTCTCTCCTAGCCCAGTCTGTCCTTGCCAGTCCCCAAGGCTCCTTCAAATTGTTACCAAAGAAAAGGTTCTAAAATGCAAATCTGACGTCATATCCTCCTTAACACAGGTTACTGGCTTTATACTACTTGCATCAGTAGTTCTCAAACTTTCACTCAAACACACCTGAAAGGTACGGCACACTGCCTTTAGTGTTTACATCCCAGTCAGGGATGAAAAGTGTAGTTTATAAAATGCCCTTTCTAGGCAAATCTGTGTCTTCTTCTACCCTGGCTGCCCACTTCTATTGAGAATTCCTGCCTAAAATAAATGGGTTTTCATATGCAGGTCTCTACTTTTCTCTCCTACTTCCTCTCACAGTTTATAGTCCAACTATAACAGCAACTTATAAATATTATGTTACTGCTGTCTGCCTAGAATGTCTTCTTAGTCCCCCAATTTGCTCAGAGACTTTCCTTCATTCCTCTATAACTTTCTCAGATATCATATCCCCTAAGATTCCTCCTCCAGTTTTCCAAGAGGATTAAACATTCCCAACGCTATACTGTTTCTATTGTTTCATAAGGTATACAGTAAACATCTTACTCAATTATATTTTACTCTCTTACTGGACTGTAAACTCCTTAAGGATACTCTACCCTGTTCATGTTTGTGCTTAGTATAAAATAAGCATTCAATCAGTTTCACTAGATTGATATAAACATGCCCATCTTATGATTATTTCTTCATTCATTCATTCATTCAAACATTTTTAGACCAATACTGATGTAGATTTCAAAGTCCAAATGAAGGAAAGAACAAAGAATTGGGCACTGAAATACATAAATAATCCATTAGATAAAGTAAATGCTGCCCCGTTCATGATATAGTTATACCTTATTTTATCACAGTTTTTCTCATTACATATATTTTAAGAATGTAAGTTTTTTTGTTTTGTTTTTTAAATCAAGATTACTTTGCCTCTGGGCTATTAAAAAAAACCACTTGTTTTTTACATTGCTTACCGAGACAAATTATACAGAAGAAGAAATAAGATATTAACGCTGGAAAGCAACACAACAGTTATCATTATTTGCAGATAATAAGATTGTACACTGGTCTACCAAGAGAATCAACTGAAAAACTGTTAGAATTGATCAGAATTCAGTAAAGTAGCTAAAGAAAAAAAATCAATAGCCTTGATATATAACAGCAACAACCAGTCAGAAATGTTACTGGAATAAAATACAGTAATAGAAAAAAATATTTAAAACACCAGAAGTAGTGGAAAAATCTATTGGAATAAAAGTTTAAAATAAGTAGAAAGGTAATGGTCTTTTATACTGTCAAATTAATGTATTCATTTAATGTACTCTAAATAAAAATGCTAGCAGAATGTTTTCTGAAAAAAAATTATAAAGTTGAATCTATCCCTTATAATCCTATATGAAAATGAATTCTAGATGGATTTAAAATATGAATGTGAACCCCCCTAAATTAAAAGCAGTCTAAGAAAACTATCTAAAAATTATCTAATGACTAAATTATTTGTGACCCAAAATCTCAAAGGCATAACATACTTGAAAGTTCAGTAAAATTTATGCATGCAGCCCTGACTGGTTTGGCTCAGTGGATAGAGTGTTGGCCTGCAGACAAAGTGTCCCAGGTTCAGTTCTAATCAAGGGCATATACCTTGGTTGCGGGCACATCCCCAGTAGGGGGTGTGCAGGAGGCAGTTGATCAATGTTTCTAACTCTCTATCCCTCTCCCTTCCTCTCTGTAAAAAATCAATAAAATATATTTTTAAAAAATTTATACATGCAAAAATAAGCCCATAAGCAAAGTTAAAAGTCACATGAAACTTTTCTTAATATATAAAACTCATAGAAAATGTCAAAAGCCCCAACCATCCAATACAAAAATGAGCAAAGGATGTGGACAGTTCACAGAAAATGAAATGCAAATGGTTCTTAAATATTTAGAAAATATGCAATATCACTAATAAAAATAAGTACAAATAAAAAATGCAACAAGATTCCTTCTTTTTTTTTGAAGTTGGAAAAGATTTAAAAAAAAAGTTTGACAATACAACATGTTGACTAGCATTTAGTGAAACTGATACTCTCTTGCATGGTTCTTGGGAGTCAAAATTGATACTAATACAATAAAAGATAATTTAGCAACATCTACAGAATATCATTGGAACTTTTTTTGACCCTTTAATTTCATGAACTTACCTAGCAAGTATACTCATATATATGTTAAATGATGTATGCACAATCTTTTCCAATAGCAAAAGGAAACCATCTATATTTTCAAATTAAAGTATTTGCAACTAATTAAATTAAATAAAGCAAGCTGCAGAACAGTATGTATAAGAATGCCACACCTAACCTTGACTGGTTTGGCTCTGTGCATAGAGCATCATCAGCCTGCAGACTGAAGGGTCCCAGGTTCGATTCCGGTCAAGGGCATGTACCTTGGTTGTGGGCACATCCCCAGTAGGGGATGTGCAGGAGGCAGCTGATGGATGTTTCTCTCTCATCGATGTTTCTAGCTCTCTATCCCTCTCCCTTACTCTCTGTAAAAAATCAATAAAATATATATATTTTTAAAAAGAGTGCCATGACTGTAAATTAAAAAAAATAAAGTCAGCTCTGAGAGAATATACAACAAACTGGTAATAATATTTTGCCTCCAGGAAAATGATTGGGGAGGCTAAAAGAGAAGCACTGGGAGAAAGATTCCTTTGAACTGTTTGCTGTTTCTATAACTTTTAATCATGTGTATTCTATATAATAAAGGTGTAGTATACAAATTGTCCCATTGACTGGGAGGTCATCCGTGAGTTCAACCAGGGAGGGAGGCCCCAGCTGGCAGCTACTAGAGACCCTACGAGTATACGAATTTCCTACCCTGGGCCTCTAGTTAATTAATAAATGAAATTACACAATTCCTACAGGACAAAAAAAAAAAAAGAAAAAACAAAGCCAAAAGATGTCTTCATTTCTAAGAGATCTCCTTGCTTCTAAATAATTAAGAGATGGCCTATAAATGCATAGCCACTAGTCACATACTGGTATTGAGCAAATGAAATGTGGTTAGTCCAAATTGAGATGTGCTATAGTGTAAATGCACACTGCATTTTAAAGCCCTTAGTGTGGTCAAAAATAAAATAAAATAAAATAAAATAAAATAACTCAATTTTTAAAACTACCATTTGACTTTGGATGGTGAGCACACAATAAAATTTATAGATCTTGTAACATAAGAATCCACTTTTGAAATCTATGTGATCCTATAAATCAATGTCACCCCAATAAATTTAATAAAACTAAAAACTGTTGATTACATGTCGAAATACAGTATATTATTTTGGATATATTAAGTAAAATATCATTAATTTAATTAGTTTCTTTTTACTTATTTTAGTGTGTGTGCTGAAAATTTTTAAATTCCACATGTGATTTATGCTGCAATTTATTGGACAGCTCAAAGCTAGACTAATACTCTTAATCACTGATAACCTTAAGAAAAAATTCTAGGTTCTAGAATCATGAAAATTGATTTTTTTAATTTGATGTGAGAGGATTCTCCAAAATCGAGGTTCTACCATTTTTTGAAAGTTAAAGAGCATAGAAATAAGCCCAGAGTAGATCAATTAGCTTTCGAAATAGTACAATAAAAAAAATCTTCTTTTGAAAACTACAAAATCAATTCACCAGCCAGAAGGTATTTACATGTACACATTTATGTTATGTATGCATGCTCTGTATATGATGTAGATTATCCTATTTGATTTTCTAGATATAAAATATTTTGAGCATTTTTATTCTCTATTATGATCCATTCTACATAATTTGGACATTCTTTAAAATGTCAAAGGCAGAATTACAACAGATGGAGTTGCAAATCTTTTATGAGCATACTAGCTTCTAAGAAGAAATGAAAGTGATTTTCAATGAATTTTTTTTTTTTTAAGAGAGAGAGAGGAAGAGGGAGATAGAAGCATCGATGAGTCGGCAGCCTTCTGCACAGCCCCTATTGGGATGGAGCTTGCAACCAGGAATG